AAGCAAATTGAAGTTGTCATTCCTAAGCTGTCGGGTGATGGTGAAGATGTGATAAAGGTGGTTTTGGAATATGACTGGGTGCCGTCTCAATGTTCGAAATGTAAWGTTTTTGGCCATAATACGAATTCCTGTCAGAAAGGGGGTACTCTTAAACAAAAGGAGATTGTCAAGCCGTTGCATAATGATGGGTTTATAGAGAAAAAGAGTAAACAATGGAGACCGAAACAGAGTTCAGGTCCKAGTAATGSTGCTCARGCCACTTCGTCAGGAGATCCTTCTAATTTTCRCGAAACATTGGTGGGAGTTGGTACWATTAAGCCGATTTCTGATATACCGTCTTCTTTGGGTGTTACTCAAAAGGATAAGGAAGCAGTTCAGGTGGTTGATTCTGATCCATCAATTGGGGAAYGTAGGGATCATGATGAAAGTCAATATTGTACGGTGGATGCAGGGAGAACGCCAAGGGGAAGAGATGATGAAGCGAATGTGACATTTCGATCAAAGCGGGGTCCAGCACTTCTTAAAGGAGTGCTTAAAGCGATGAAACCAAGACGTAGTGCAGTTTCTATTACGTCTACGAGTAATAGATTCTCCCCTCTACCTTCTGACTCCAGTGATGATGATGATACGGAAATAATAGATACTGAGGGGCACTCTTTGGATTATAGTAAAGGGGCACGATCCACTTCAACTTCTCAATGATAAAGTTTGCTGCGTGGAATATTAGGGGTCTTAATTCCCTAATAAAGCAAAAGGAGGTACGTGATCTTATTTATTTAAAGCATTTGTCTTTATGTTGTATCATTGAGTCCAAAGTCATACATAGTCATTTGGGGGATGTATGTGGCAAAGTGTTTGGAAATTGGAGTTGGATCTCGAATGGGAGCTTGTGTGATCAAGGTACTCGTATTATTATTGCTTGGGATCCAACAGTGTTGTCAGTTCTTATGATTGAGCAGCACCAACAATATGTCCACTGTGAGATTAGGATTTTTGGACAACTTGATCCTATTTTTATTACCTTTGTTTATGGGTGTAATACGGGTGTGGATAGGCGTGAGCTTTGGCGGGCGTTTGGTGAATTCCATGT